TATATATAGTAATTAGAACATTATTTCCGAAATGCGTACTATACATCATGTTTTCAGCACGCAAATATTTACACAGTATTCACGATTCTCCCAACCTTATCAAGTAGACTCGTGACTCGCCCACGCCGTTAGTTGACCAATCACAGTGTGATTGTCAGAAGAGATTGTTCAGTGAGTTTAATGATTAATTTATTAAGAAGCGGCGAGAGAGTGACAAAAAAAAACGGATGCTGAAAAAAAGTGAAGAATTTGATTAGTAGAAGCAAAAATACAAAGAAAAGTGAAGAATTGAAATCAAACTCCAGGGGGGACCCTGCAGTGGTAAAACTTGCCAGCTGATTGTACCATCGCTGAATAGCAGAAGGACAGACTTCCGGGACACCGCGCATCATTCCCGGTGTCAGGGAGCTGCTGTCCAATTAACTGAGACTCCCAGAACTTCCGGGAGAAGTGGGATGTCTGCAGTAGGACTGTCGATACAATCACACCAATCCCATAGTGCGATGGGATGCTTGGGGATTCAATGCATCTGCCCAACAGCCATGAGACATGGTTCCTATGGTAACATCCTTCATCCTCGCAGTGATGACTGGCTAGATATTTTTCCTCAACCTCAATCCCAGCCTCCGTCCTCACCGCTGCCATGGCTGACCCCCCCCCCACAGCTGCCACATGTGAACTCACCCATGACACCACCCGTCCATTGAAACACGGCAGTTTGGCGCTGTCGTCAGAGATCTCCTCTTTCACAACCCTGCAGACACACAAGAGCGAAGAGAAGTGCACCATCATACATTGGTGGGGAGTAGTGGTGTGATGGTTCTGAAACTGAGACCAAAGCCCCAAAACAGACATTCACGGTCTCGTTCACGATCTCCACACCCACCAACACCAACCTCCTGCCACGACCGCAGCTGCAGCCTGTTGAGCTCTCGTTACACAACTTCTGGCACAAAACTCATTTTTCATTTCACAATTAACACAGCAACACATGTAAAACACAAAATTATTATTCTATTTAAAATCGGGGCAAGCTGTATGTTTTGTAAAATTTTACACATTACGCCTATTTTATTGTTGTCCAACTGCGTGTGTCACATAACTTTTGGTCCAATCATGATTGAGTGATGGAGCCTGTGGGAAGCGCTAGGCTAGTTTCATTAGCTCAAGATGGATAATAACCTTGAGATTGCAGAGCACCCCAGCACAATCAAGTCAGCGGTGTGGGAACATTTTGGTTATCCTGTGGAGCGTAAGGAATGCAGTCATGTTGTTTTCTGCGTTTCTAAGTGGTCTTCAGAAAAAAAAATGTCTTTTTTTTTTTACGTAGTTATTTCATGTGAACTGAGGTTAATCTAAACAAAATAAGACTAAAGCACATGTCAGTGTTCCAAATTTTTTTCCAAAAGGTCTGAGCTAAACCGTAGATCTGGAAAATCGTTACATCTCTAGTGCTGAGAATAAGGACACCTGAAATCCCCCGGGTCATAGTGCCCCCCAGCACACGGGAGCCATGAGTAACAGCAAGCCACCCACTAGACACAAAATACAATGGAAAATCAGCACTCTACACTCCCTCGCACACCTTGTGTTTTGTCTACACGTTTATCTCGTTATCTTATTATGTCACAGAATTTGCCGTGGCTTGCCTGCCCCGCGAAACTCGAGCTCAGAAACCAGCATCTGCATTACAGGAAAGGGCGGCTGCCCATCGACGTGAAGAACGGAGACCCCTCTCGGTGACTCCAGCCCTTCAGCGCTCACGACAAAGACGTTAATTACACCGTAATTACAGCAGCGGGTTATTTTCGACGACTATATGCACTCACTTAAAAGCCTGCAAGTCCGCGCTATTCGGCATGTCTGAGCTCTTTTGAAAGGTTTACTAGTGTTTCACTGCGGGGCAAAACAAACAGGATTTATAGTTTAAAAAAAAAACAAAAAAAAAAAACAGCCACTTCAGTCACCAATTCAGACTCGTATGTCAGGGCCAGATCAGTTCTGGCGTTGTGATTCGTTGTAGGAGACATGGGTTGGCAGGAACGGAACTGTTCGCTCCATAAATCCTCCCATCTCCTGGGTGCAAGACACACAGTGAGAGGAACATGCGCCACATGCATAAACACTTTCCCTCGGGCCCCATGGACGGCTTCGGGAGGAGAGCTGGACCCCATGAACGTCTGGACCCCAACCGGCAAACAGCACCAACAGCCAAAGTGATTTTAGCCTCGACTGAATGAATGGAGGCTTTGAGTACAGTCAGGGAAACGGGTTTAACTAAAACGCTGGAGAGGCACCAAAACAAAAGGCAAACGAAGCGAACGAGCAGGCCCATCCCCTGACCGCACCCCATGCCACAATAGCCACGCCCACCGGCGATTTTCATTCCACGGACGATTAGAGACTCGTGACATATTATGGCGGGTGCAAATGACCGGCTCAACTGTCGGGGTAATGTATCGAATGCTTCGGAAACCTACAGGAGGTCCAGACGACGAAACTCGATACGCAGCGTGGCGGTCCAGAGACCCCCCCCCCCCGAACAGCTGCAGCCATTGACGTCACCCGAGGAAACCCAATGGCAGCTTTAAGCTCGTTAGCACGTCCTACACGACACGCTGCTTCCTAGTCACGCTCGCCAGGAGAGAGTGTAAAGGTAAAGTTCCAGTAAGCTGGGAACCCTCAGGCCATCCCTACATAACGTCCACATTTTCCCAACACAAAGAAAACGAGGAGTCTCACCTTGAGCCTGTTTACCGGCTACGTTTGGATGCTCACTGACCTGTGCACTACAGCATTTCTGAGGAATACCTCAGTCCGCATCATGGGGAGTGAGGGGCAGCATTTGGGGTTTGTGTGTCTGGAGGGAAGCCGGGCAGCTGGAAGCAGTAAGCCAGCTGGGAAAGCCTGAGCCAATCCCAGACCTCATTACCATAGCGCCAAACCGTATGTTCTCACAAAGATCTGGTCATAAAACAAAGCTAGTAAATGCTGCAGGTTTAAGGAGAAGGTCTGGCTTTGGGAATCATTCTTCCTCTCTTACAGCATCAAGTCTCTTAAACTTTTGCCAAGGTCCTCGGGGGGGGGGGGGCTTTCAGAGGACCTCTGTCTGCTCATCAGCTGATGCGCGATTTTAGAGCAACATCAACCTGCTTCAGATTAATTCCAGCAACAGGCAGCGTGCTGGATGCCTCAGGAGCAGGAAAGGACCCCACAGGAGACCCTGCTGGAGATGTGCTACCAGAGAAAGAGTCTCGCCCCACTAAACCTGGCACCGCCATTCAGCACACACACACACAAACAATGGCGCTGTGTGCTAAATGGATTTTACTGTCCTGGATGCTTAAGAGAGCAGCCTGGTATTTAAATGAGTAAACCTAAAATAGAGGGCAGAGGAAGGTTCATTTCCACTCTGCATACATACTTTTATACTTCGAATTTCAAATATTTAAGCATTTTAGATTATGTAAATTCTTTTTACCTATTTAGTTAAAATCTTTCGCAACCTTACATTTGACACGATGAGAAAAAATATGACGTAGAAATTACGTAAATAATATTACATAGAAGAGATGCGCCTACGTGTTGGAAAATTGTATTTTTAGAATGATGAAACGAGTTACTTCAGCCAATCACAAAATATGCTAGACTAGTGCATTGGCTGAATTTATGTAAAACTGATCGGCCGTATTTTATGCTAAACGACAGATACCTAGCAGCAATGAGCATGAAAACACTATAGGTCATAAAAATCGTATCACGTGGATTCAGTCACATGGTACAGTTAATCAATACAGAAGATTTAGTCAAATCAAGATATTTACAGAAATGTATTATGTGGTTAAATAAATTATTCAAAATAATATAAACACGTTTATCTCTGCAGATTGTTACTTTCCGGCTTTTTTCTATAACATCTTCATTCAAAAGTATATGAACTCCAAAGAATAAGCATTAGTGTAACATGTGCTTCGGGGGAAAAGTACTTAACATTTTATATGAATTTTAATAACCAAAGACACTTTTCATGCATACTTTTTGCATACATAAATATGTCAATCTTTCCACTTCACTATTATAACTGCTCATACACTGCAAATGCAAGCAAATAAAAGAGTTAAATGTGGATATACATTGGGCCAGTTAGAGAATGCTATAGTTATTTTTCCATTTTAAAACGTTTCTCAAAACTGCTGTTACGTTACTGACGCTGCAAACCCCTGAAAGTAACAAGTATTTAAGTTTAAAAATCTGTGGCAATCGCAAAAAAAGTTGTAATGTCAGTGTTGAAAGGGCCACTTTTCGGGCAGTACCTCCAGGCGCCCCCTGGTCATCAGCAGAGAATCCGCCGTATGCGAGACTCACCCGAAATCCTGGTCCATGGATTTGAAGAAGAATTTGTAGCTGGGCTTGTTCAGGACCTGCTTGAAATCCAGCAGCGTGATTTCCTCTGCCGCGACGGGGATTTTCACCAAGTACGGCGTCTCCTCTTCGTCTATATGGTAGATTATTTTGGTTTCCGCCATTTCGCCCTGCTCCGCTTCTCTGTCCCACGACCAAACGAGGAGGAGGAGGGGGGATTGCAATCGAGATACCGAGCTTGTTCCAGCCAGATAGCGACCGAGTTTAAAAGGTTAAACTGTTCTCGGTTTCCATATAATCGTCTGTCTTATTCCCCCTTTGCTGAAGGAGCTGCTCCTTACAGAGGTATGCATTCACCCAAACGGTGTAAGTTTCTTCCCTAGCTCCTTGCTCTTGCCAGGGGAAAAGGGGGGGGTCCAAAAGTTTCTCCAGCGCGAGCCAACGCGGCGTATGACGTCACGAGAGCGCGCCCCCACCCCCACAGACGCCCCCTCCTCCTTTCCCCCTATTTCGTGATGTCTGCCCTTCACGTTAAACCATCGCGAACCCCAATAACTCGCTGCACCTTGCCCCGTTTCACCTCGACGTAACGATGAACCAAAATCCATGGCTTCCCGTAATGTTGTCATTAATTGCGGCGTCACGTGGTCTGTCTACCTTCAACCACTTAACTAGAAAATGAGCGTTTAATTCCTCAATGCATCTAGCTCACAGTCACACATGTTGCTGCTAAATTTGTTTGCCAAAGAGTGAGACCATCGTGTAGTATTTCACTGTATTAATGCATTTATTTTAAGTAAGTGCTGATTAATTCAAACTGAGAAAAGTTTGTGCATTATAGGAATTCAGGGGTGGTGTAGAATCTTAGCACGGGCTCAGTCCAGAGACCTAATTGGCCCCAGTCAGAGTTAGAAAGTTAAGGTCCAGAAACTACAAACCCAGAACATGGTTATGCCTCAACCAATCAGCTGAGTACTGTGACTGGGAATCTTTATACTGAACTGGTTGGTTGAGACAAAACCCTCAGTCTAGATTTGTACTTTCTGCACCTGAACTTTCCACCTCTGGCCCAGGGTCATCATATCGACTTCTGACTCTGATGTTAAGATGACTGTAGTACTATGAAGGCTTTGAGAAACACAAAATTAAGCTGCCCCAATGTCTTGGACTCAGTCTCCTTTCAGAAAACATCTAGACAAGAGACCAAACTGACACCCGGTTAAATACTCAATTCTTTACTCCAGAAGAAAAGACAGAATAAAAATATATAATCCATTTCTCTGCTCATCCAGAGTAGGTGGTGACCGCAGGGCAGACTTTCACTTCCTAGCACAGGGAATGCTGGGTGGCATAACTGGGACCATGCTGGGAGGACCGCTGAGTGGAGGGGGGGTGGGGCGGCTTCCACAAGATGACTAAGCCAGTGGCCATGGAGCTGGTGTTGGAGGAGATACATAAATTGTTAAAAGAGTCTAGTTACAGAAAATGAAGATTCTGTCCACTAGGACATTCTAGCTCCAAGTCTAGTGACGAACTTCTATAATTCACAAAATAAAAAACACACACACACACACACACACACACACACACACACACACACGAGATTGAAGTACCTTCCTGGACAGCTTCATGGTTGTGATGCAGGCCTCTGTGCCAGGGTGCCATCCTGATGAAATGGTGGGACAGGATGGATGAAGTCTTTCCTTCTAAGAACTTCAGGCTTAGAAGAAAGTTCACCCAACAGAACCAAAGAGCTGGTTAATCCAACAGCTGCTTGAGGCTGAAGGACTATGGAGGTGCCATTTCGTTCATGTTGTGTTATTGGGCCAACTGCGGTTTCCTTCTCTTCTGAAAGGAGGAATTCTCAATATTAATGAGAAAGATTTTGATGAAAGACCACCCATTCTGCAGTTTTAGCAACAAAGCAGCCCACAGTTCTCACCAGCCATTTTGTTTGGCAGACCACCATCTTCTGCAAGGTCCAGGATAGAGTGTGAACTACCATCCTTCTGCCAGTCTGGAAGATGTTTCAAGAACCTCAGTGGACACAGCAATGAGGTGGACCTATTCACCCAGACTTCTTGGTATTGAAATGCCAGACCAAGAAGGGTTCATCTATGTCAGACCCCATTTGTCTAGGAACATCAGTTAACCACTGATGTGTAATCAGTTCGAGCCAAAGCAAGATTTGATGAACATTTAAAGGCTCTCACCGTAAAAATTAGAATTCAGCTTAAGACACAGTTATTGCAGAAGTGTAGAAACGTGCCAAATAAACCTCTTATGGAATCCTTTACAGGTCTCCAGTAAGCTCCAGATGGCTGTGCTGGAACCAGCATGCCTGGGAACAAGGGGTTGTCAACACCGTTGTTTGGAAGGATGATCGCAGGCCCCACGCTTATCTCCATTTCCCATCCTAAAGGGGAGAGAGAAGCAGCTGTAATTGAAGTACAGAATGGACCATACGACAGCACCCATACCTCTCGGAGTGCCCACGCCATTGCGGGAGATGCTAGCCGGCCACTGGCGGCTGCCAGGGCCAGTGGACCAAATGGGCCGGCCAGACCTGTGGTACGAGTCACAGCCACTGCATACCCAGTCATTCCCATCTGCAGATCTCCAACTGGGAATAGAAACATGACATCAATATACATCCTGGCTCATACATGCATCTACAAAGTCCAGCACCAGACCTTCCACTAATGGCACTTTTCCACTGGCGTACAGGAACCAAGCCAGCCACACTCGACCAGTACTGCGGAGAGACTAGTTACAGTGCGGTTCCAGCTTGGGTAGGTCACACCAGGGCCACCGCGACACAATCATCACTGGCATATATTACATTGGAAAGCCACCAATTCACCGTAAGGCTCAGTTCTAAGTGACAGTAGAAAAGCGCCACAATTCAGTAGCTAATTTAAAAAAAGGTACAATTGACAGGACTGACCAACGCAATGCAACCTCAATGCTGTAATAAGTACAGTTAAATGGTGTGAGAACTAGTGTGCACACCTAGTCCGATCTGTTATATAAACTAAATTATAAGCTTACGTATTAGTTACATTATGAATGTACTTTACGTGGCTTAGACAAAAAAAAAAAAAAAAGTTGAACTGAACACGTTAAGTTTTACGCATGTTCAACAATTTGCGAACTGTCCTGCAGTAGAAAAACAAGATCATGGGCAAATTTTTGAAAAAGATAAATTTCAGGATCAACGAGATTCGAGTCATTGGCAAGAGCCTATTAGTAGTAGGTGTTAATCAATAGTGTGCCCTGTGATAATTACCTAATGAGAGGTGTGCTGTGGCAGGAAACAGGGTTGGGAAACATTGAGTTATTGTATATTCCAACATTCCTTGCACTGATATTTATCAACCACACATAGTATACAGACTGTATAGACCATTGTCTTATGCAGTAAATGCACAGACGACAGACAGAATTCCCTGGGTGCTAACATACTTGGCTAATAAACCTGATTGAGAATGATCTAACCTTCCATCCACAAAGGAACAAGCCCGTCGTTTGGCATCCATAGTCTCCCCACTGACTGTGGCCACCACGTGACATGTGATGTACATCTGTGTGTCAAAAGCAATAAAGCAGCATCAAGAATGGGAACCAGCAGCTACTGATGGGAAATCAAAAACCAGACCAACCGTATTTGCCGGTTGCCGAGGAAACACAAAGGTCTCCAGCAAAAGCTGCAGCGTGGTCTGCTGGACTCTGGGCAGAATCATGGAGCTGGACCCAGTCAGCATAGTGTCAATCAGGCACCTACAAAGGAGCAGAACATCAGCAGCTGCAGCTCTGGCTTTACAATCATTCATAAGGATTTGCTCACCCATTGTTCTCGAGAAATGAGTATCTCGGGCGAGAACTCTGATATGGGTGTAGAGTAGCAACGCAGCTGTCTACAAACAGGGTGAGGGGAAGGCGACTGTCTGATCGGACAGAGGCTTGGATGTATAGGAAATCCCCCAGGAAGTAGAAAGGAGAAGCTCGGTCAGTTCGCCAGTCACCTGGAGACACAAGTTGAACAATTAAATCTCCAGTTTCAAATTCGGAGGAAGACATGGAAATTCTGCTATGGTTGCCGGGGATACAACAAATAGCAATGCAAAAGGTATGGAGTCCCAGTCAACAAGGCCCCACCCATCTACCCCCATCCACTATTTACATTATATTCTTACTAGACATGAGTTTCAGGGAGAAATCCAGCAAATCCCCAGGCGGAGCTGAGGCGATGGGCATCCACGTTGGTTTAAGGATACTACTTTCCACACGGAATCTCCTAAGAGGGACGGCAAGTCAAACCTCAATTTTGTTATTGTATCACGCAGCATCACACACCAGCGCGACTTACCGTGTATAACGGCACTCAATCGGAATAGCAACGCCTTTCATCCGCACGACGCCGATTGGAGATGGTTTCGGTGAATAGACGAGAAGGTTTGCATAAATCAATGAATCCTCTATGACCTAGGGAGAGGAAAATAAAAATGAAAACTAATTATATTGTTGTAGAGCAGTATTTGGTCGAAAGGTCTGTTCTAGACATTAATGCGCAGTTCGTGAATAGAGTACACACTGAATACCTGGGAGTCAATTTATTAATAGAATAAGCTAAAGAAGCGCTCCATACATCAATTTAATACGTGGGTACAACATTGCAGTTTCCTAATCATCCGTGCAGATAACTCCCCCCCCCTGATATTTCAAAAACAGCCGCGCAATTCATGCGTCAGCACGCGGTGTATACCATTGCACTGAAACACCAAGAGCAGGTTACCATTCAAATACAAACCAATCTGTGGGTGCCGCAGTCCTTTAGGTCAGCGATTATGGTATACGCGGATGGTCCAGAAGCCTTAGCCTTGCACGATTCCTTAACGCCAGGATCCGCTCCTAATCTTAGATCGGCCCCCTTGATAGGAGTACCTATGTTATAAAGATCGGCTTTCACCGCAATCTCCAGCTCAGACTCACGGCATTTGACGCTGACAGTCTTTAGCAAATTGGGAGATGCATAGTTACTTCCTAGCCGATGAGACTTTCGGTGTTCATTCGTAGGAGCGCTGCTTAGTTCTGGCACAACGTAGTAGCAGTCAGTTACTAAAGAAATTATCAACAGGTCAGCGATCAGACTCCGTATTACTTCCACGATCCCCATGAGTGCCTACACCGCTTAACTGTGCCAGCTCGGGTCAGTAAGGTCGATGTTACCCCTCTGACAGCCACCAAGCAACGGCTAGTAGGGTCCCATGCACAGACTAAGTAAGAAATGCACACCAGAGTTTAATTTACACACTGATTACACTGACTGTTCTAAGCATATCAGTATAGATCACCACTCACAACCCCGGCTCTCATCGCCAAACATGTGCGCGGAGTTTCAGTATAAAATTTGTCAGGAAAAAATACGTCAAATGATTTAAAACATTGTCGTTTCAAGTTGGCCTAGTATCGTTGTTATGACACTTACATGGCAAAACGTAATACTCAAAGTTATGGAACAGGATTTTCGCCTCATGATGGTGCAGTTGACAAATCTGCAGCAACTGTGTGATCATGTCAACACGGTCCAAAGTCTCTGAGGAATGTTTCAAGCCCCTTGTTGAATCTACGGCAAGGACAATTGGGCCAGTTCTGAAGGCAAAATGGGATTCAACCCAGTACTAGCGAGGTGTACCTAATAAAGTGGCCAGTGAGTGTATTTATTTTAAAACAAACTATATGATTTTTGTGACCTGCCAAGTCACCAAGAATTAAACGTGGCTTTAGTGTACTGAGATTCGTATGAATCACATCTACATTTCTGATAGTATTTAAAATTTTTGCAAGGTTTCTTTTTTAAAGACTACACTATGTGAAAAGATATATGATATGTAGTGTTTTTCTAATGCAAGTGTAACCATATTCAAAAATAACTGTTTAATTTGTGACCAATACTGCAGAGTCATTTCCATGCTATTCAAAACTTGTATTTCAGCTAATGACTGTGACTCTGCCTGCCGTCAGATACCTGTAAAAGTTTCATAAAGGTGTGTTTTCACGTAGGTTTGCTGTCCTCATACTCTAGCCAGACCCTCTGTTAACCAAGCGCACCCTCACTGTGTCTTACAAATGCCAGTTAACCTTGCAGTGTGCATATTTACTATGGGTACTATCGTTAACACTGAGATAATGTACCTATAGTTTTCCACTAGGGGGAGCCCTATTCCAACATCTTACATAAACCCTCCAAAAACTGCGAATCCGTTTCTACGCTAGTGGTCTGATATAAATGCAGATGTAAAATGTTTATATGTTAATGTGTCCACTCTCCCAGCCGTCATCCTCATTATCCCCACGTCTCGACCCATGGCAGAATAGACACTGCTCGGTCGAGCTGCTTGGTGCTGTTCGTCGAGTCCATGAAGACCCTGGTGGACTCTTTGGGTGTGGAGCAGCTATAGTTCCATCCATCCAGCCATCCATCCACCCATCCATTAACTGAATATTGAAAATCTCAATTAAAAACTGAATTGAAAATCTGACTCCAGCCAGTTGACTAAAGTTGCCTGCTCTGCCATCCATCCATGTTCTACCCGCTTATCCTGATATGAGATTAGTCTTCACTGTCCTGTTCTGTGTGCCACGGGAAGAGGCAGAAGCTGATCACCAGCAACATCAACCACACCCTCAAGATGAAGAAGGTGAAGGTTAGTGACACGTGCATGACAAGGGGGGGGGGGGCTGGGAGGTGTGTAGGCTGTTCTTCACTCCCACCCCCCGCCTCTTTACTACCTCCAGTGCCAGGAGTTCATCCCGTTCGGTTTCGCTGGCAGGGAGGGAGCTGCACTTCCGCACTTCTCCGTGGAGAAGGAGGTGGGCCTGAGTGATAACAGCNCATTAACTGAATATTGAAAATCTCAATTAAAAACTGAATTGAAAATCTGACTCCAGCCAGTTGACTAAAGTTGCCTGCTCTGCCATCCATCCATGGCACACCCCAGACGTTGCGACAAACCATTGTGTGAGTACTTTTACTTAAAAAAATACTTTAAAGTAAATTTAAAAGTAAGTACTTAGTACTTTCACTTAAGTAAGATTGTTGATGTAGCACTTCTACTTTTACTTGAGTACATATTTTGCACAATATTTGTACTTTTACTTAAGTACTAAGCTTCAGTACTTCCTCCACCACTGATTATTATTCCTGCAGCCATGATCAGGGTAAAGGCACATTTGATAATGACTTAGGACGCAGTACCAACTCATCCCTCAGTGATACACACGCAAAACTGTGTGCAGCCGTCTTCCTCTTATGCAATGTGTGTGACAAACATGGCATTTCCCACTCTCCCTGTCGCCTATCAGAGCCTGCTGGAAGATTACACAGTAAAAACAGATTGTTTCTCAAAATGAAACCGAAATTAGATTACTCGGGCTGCTTTAGAGACATGTGATATGTGGAGACTTTCTTTTTTAGTTTGCTGACATTGCGGCCTGTATTTCAGGGCTGCTGTCTAAGTTGTGATCCATCTTTGTGGATTCCTGCCCGACTGCAGCTCTGTACGTGATTCTTGGTCTGTGTCGCTGCGTGTGTGAGGTTTGCTTGTTTTTCTTTAGCAGCCTGAATGAGTTTAATCGGCGTTCACGTGTGTCTGTGCGGGACAGTGTCTCTTCTGGGATACCTGCCAGGGGCGATAGGGCTGTCAGCGACCGGTGAGATGAAAAAGGTGAATGGAAGGATTAGATTGGTCACGGAATTCTTGTCGCCGCCTCCTGGAATGTCAACAGAATCAGGGCTGGGCTATTGTGGCCAATCATAGTGGTGGGGCACAACCCACAGGAAGTCTCTCGGTGTCATGCCCCACGCATCCTGTGTGCCACGCCCCCTCATCTACCCTGTGTGGAATCCCCGTGTTACCAGCTGTTTCTTGTCGCTGTTATCAGTTCAATGCATTTAAGTCTGTGTTAAGTTTGTTTCCCCAATCCAGCCATTGAAGCCTGAAGTCTAACGTCTGTCTGTGTGCCTTACCTTGCTATTTTCTACAATAAACCCCTCGTTTCCAGATTCCTCATCCCCCTGCTCCTGCTTCCCCGGTCCGTACGTGACGCTCGGGTTGGTTTGGGAGCAGAGCCAGATGTTTTCGCCCATAACCACCAAACCCTCGTCACGTGACTCTTGGGAGGATAGTGAGTGAATTTAGGGTTGCTGACCTTTTAATACCGAAAGCATGTGATGGCCATCAGATTGTTTATTTACAGGAAGGAAATGGTGTGGTGAAAGTCTTTGGGAGGTTTGTGTTGGTCGCTGTAAAGGATACGCCACAGTCCAGGCAAGCACATGACCTTCAGCATGAGATCCTTCTCAGTTCCTGTCCAGCATCTTGACTTTCCGTCTTCTGTCACAGTTTCTCACTCACACGCTTTCAGGGATGATATATTACATATGCCAAAGCCACCACATGCGTCCTGCACTAAATGCTGAGCTGGGACCTCGGTCATCTTCACACATTTGGCCACTCGTGGCTTCTGAGTGGGTAATGGTGACCTTTTTTTTCACCTAACCAGTTTGATCACCATGTTTATCCAGTATTCATCTATCTCTCTTTCTATCTCTCAACATAATCGTCCACATTCTCTACTTCTAGGCTGTGGTGTCTCACTTTAAATATCATTTTTCGGACATTCAGCTGGGTAATATGGGTTTGTGGTTTGTTCTCAGTAAGAGATGAACCTCTGTTTAAGGCTATGGGCATCCTATGGTTTTGTCTCTATTGGCCTAATTTGAGTGGCCGAGTTTCCATTGGCTCAGGGCTTTTGCACCTGACCAAACAGTCTGACTGAACAGACACCTGTTTGTTGGCTTGGACAGAGGTCTGATTGTAAAGGCTCTTTGCAAGTTGCAAGCTTTTCAGGTGCATTCTTTGGCTTCTGGCTGCCAGGATGAGGGTGTGTGTTGTGGGGAGGGCAGCTGACAGATCAGGTTGCCTGGGGGGAGAGTCATGTTTCCTTCTGACACTGACTGACTTGCTGGTTCCAAGCACAGAAAATGTTAAACGATGATAAATGAGGGCCGATGTGACATCTGGGGGTCTAAATGTGAGCGTGATACGTGTCACTGATGCATGCGTACCTGCTGCAGTAATGGAGGGCATGTAATTGCGCGAATGTCTGTTACACCGTTTATCTGTTGCTGTGCATGATTTACTTTATGAGTAAGTAACTAATATGTTAAATCCTGGTTTGTATTTTATAATAGAACTCAAACATTGTTAATTTAGAGTAAACCGGAAATCTATAATCATTAACGCGCAATCGTGTTGTTAATACGAGTTAAGTTTCTTTCCAGAGTTGACTGTTAATGTACCCTGCCATATATATATAGAGTAGTTGAGAGATTTATCTAACTAATTGACATTACTATTATTAATCTGACTTAATATATTGTGATCTGAGTCTGTATTTAATTTGTATTATTTAGAATATGCAAGTTTGCATTATAATGAATGTTTGTAATGTAACGATCTAAATAGTTACCAAATTGCAGATGCCAGCTGTAAGATTGTGATCATTTACTGATTATGTTTATTTCTGTTGTAGACCACAGCCAGTTATATTCAGCAGACTAATCACAGCTGCCCATGTAACAGATCAGAATGGTAACCTTGTTTACCAGCTATCAATCTGCTTTCCTGTATTAATAAAGTGTTAATAAGTCCGCTGCGCTCGCATACCCCTTTTCCACTGCAAAGGTGCCGGTGCCGATCCAGTGCCGATCCCCAATTCGGAACCAGTGCCACATTTTTCCCACAGAAAAAAAAATTGCGTCGGTGCCGCAAAATTGGCTCACAACACCGGCACCAAACCTTTTCTGGTCTGGATGAAGCACCCGTGTCATCATGAGAGGTGGGTGGAGTAACCGAGGCAACGCAAAGTAAAGATAATGTTGGAAAGTGGGCGTGGTTTGTGACGTGGGCGCAGTGTTGTCACCCGGTTCCCACTAGGCTCTGAAGTCCGTGGAAATGCAGGCCGGCTCTTGCTGGTTCCCAACTTCAGCACCAGCCGAGCACCAGCCCCAGTGCCAGAACTGGCACCAGTGGAGTGGAAAAGGGGCCACTGTGTACTCTAACCGGAACCACCTTCCACCATTTCTTCACCTACTCAACCAGCGTATCCCTGAGAAGCTCCCATAACTCTCGTACAAATGTATTATGTGAAAATCGGAAGCAGACTGAATATTTCCCTCCCTTGATATTACGTGCAACGTAACGCATGCGTGC